GCTATAGCTGGGGAATACCCACACGTGTGAGTGTGGGGTTGTGTGTGCACAAATCTTTGTGCATCAGTGAGTGTGAGCTAGTGAGTGAGTTGGTGTAAGTCAAATGAGCACTTTTGTTAGCACTGCTACTCTTGAGCTCTTTGCAGCAGCCTCAGTTTTCCAAGGAACCTGCTCCTCCCCAGTGTTTGTAACGGGGCTTAAAAAAAGCAAGATATAAACAACGTGTCTTAAATTCCTTTATCGGGTTCCAGGAATTGCAGTTCAGGGGCCTGATCCAAAGCCTATCAAAGTCAAGGGAAAGACTCTCATTGACTTCAATGCGCTTTGGATCAGGCCCTGCCTGATATGCTGCTGTTGTAACAAAGTTCGCTACCGGCTTCCCTTAACAATTTACAGAAATGTCTCTCTCCTTCATTTATAAGCTTCCTTTCATTAAACAGAAAGGAACAGCTCATCTTCTGCAGGAGCCCGTAGCAAAAGTGCCCATGGTTTTAACAGTATAAAGATCAGAGCTTTCTACAGCTGGAAGGAAGGACTAAAGCATAAGTCTACTCTCCAGGAAGACAGACTCTTGCTCCTTAAATGAGGTCCATGATACAGGCCCAGTGCTTTCTCCTGCAAAGCTGCATTCTGCAAATTCAGCTCCAACACATACACAAAGGAAATCAGCTGGTTTCCAAGATATGGCAGGATGCATGAATGCCTGGACAGTACACATCTCCTTTCAACCCAGTGCACCTCTAACGGGGAAACAGGAAAGCATCAGAGGTTACCCACAAACAAGTGAAATTCTATCAGACTCTTTTTCGGTCCCTTTATTTTAGGTACAAGGCAGATGAAAAACAGAATTATTAGATTTTCAGGACACTGCATATGCCCACCTGCATGCAAAAATACAATGATGGACACCATGTGACCCTGTAAGTAATGGCAAAAGGAAATGGCCACTTTGTAGCCAATTGATTTGCATATCAGTTACACTGGGCTAATTGCACGCTCCTGTTGAAAACCGCTGTTGTGCCCCACATAATTCAGCTTTTCCTCCCCACAGTTTTAACTCCACTGAACTCTCTTCCGGTTTCATGTTTAAAAATTAGATTTATCTCAGAAATGATGGATCACGTTAGGCTCCAACACGCAGCTTTGCACAGAACATCCCACGACAACTTACCACTCTCTTGAACTCCTCTTCAGTGAAGTCCAGGAACTGCTTAGCTATTTTGTAATCAGTCTCAATTGTAGAGTTCAAAATGAGCGGGCCATCAGAGTTCAGGGAGTAATTGGCTTTATCATTCATAAACCTGGGAAAACAATTTAAAGAGGGACAAATATTAGAGTTCACATAGTTTGTGTTTTTCCAAGTGTAAAATACACTGAAAACCCCCCCCACAGTTTTCCATCCAGTTTGGTTTCTTTGTATCCAGCTAGATAAACAAATTCCTATCAAAGTTATAGTTTGCATTCCAAAACTTCACGTTGCTATTCACCCTCCTACTTTTTAAATACAACAACAAACCATTTGTTGGACAGATGTTCAAAGTGCCCAGCCCCACTATCCACTCCAGAGCCAGATAGCAATGCACTGCAATCCAGGGCTTAGCCCCTTGTCAGCTCAGAACAGGGGCCTGAGGCGGGCAGAAGGCTCTCCTTAAAGATAAAAATCTATCAGCATATTTGTTACAGCTCCTCTGAACTGGTCCCTTAGCTGATGCACAATACTCTGACAAATGATTAGAACTTGCTTCTCATGTAGGGTGACCAGATGTCCCGATTTTATAGGGACAGTCCCGATTTTTGAGTCTTTTTCTTGTATAGGCTCCTATTATCCCCCACCCCCGTCCCGATTTTTCACATTTGCTGTCTGGTCACCCTATCTCATGTGAAGTAATAAGGCTGCTATACATAAGTGAAGTCTGAGTTAATTACTTGAAAATAATATATTTAAACGTCTTACTGAATTACTGGGTGTTTCCTAAAGTCTGGATCACATGCTCCGGTGAGGACACTGCACAAAAGACATGTCTATATGTGTAGGGGGGAAAAGGCAGAGTTAGTCTCTTCTATAATAATGCTGCACAGAGAGACAAGTTTTGGTGTTCTCCAGGCAGGGGCTGGGCCTGAAAAGCACCATGTAGATTTACAGCTCGGTGCAAACAATAATGATCGTCAAATCCCAGCCTCTGCAATGAGCATTTACTCCCATGCTAGCTGGATATAAACATTTTTGAACGCTTTTTGGTTTTTTTTGCTACGTGTTTCTGCCCATGTACAGAAGCCACTTGTCATTCCCACCCCACCCCACCCCAGCCATTCTGGTAGAACAACCCCCATTGGAGGGAGCAGTGACCTATGATATTGCCATGTGTAAATTAAACCTTGGCTAGGAAAGTGACCACAGCCCAGGGGTGAAAGTAACTTACAGGACTTATCGGTACTGCCGGAGTCCTGAGGGGGGCGTGGCTCATCCGGAAGAGGCGGGGCCTCTCAAGATTTAAAGGCCCTGGGGCACCGGCTGTGGCTGGGAGCCCCAGGGCCTTTAAATCAACCCCAGGCTCCCAGCTGCAGAGGTGGCTGGGAGACCCCGGGGCTCAGGGGCAAATTAAAGGGCCCGGGGCTCCGGCCGCTGTGGAGCTCCGAGCCCTTTAAATCCCCACCGCGGAAGCCGGTGCGGTCCGGCACGGCGTACTGGCTCTTGCTGGTACACCGTACCGGACCGGCTTACTTTCACCTCTGCCACAGCCATCTGCTCAGGATGGGTCTATGGGTTAGTTTACACTAAATACTCCTGGGGGAA